TATGTACTGCCAGTCCCGCTACATTAATTTTCTTCGATGTGAAGTTCATTCAAATTTTCGGAAACATAATCATTTTCCTTCAAATATAAGTCAAGCAGTCGACTCGTATAAATAGCTTGCGGGTGTAATTGGTATATTGCTATTGATCTTTCTACATCCTCTGTTTGCTTATATGTGCTAATTTTGTTGATTTTTCGACATCTTCTATCTGTTTATATTGACGATAAAATTCTTCATCCTGATCACGATGCCATTTAGTAAAAAGGTTAAGTAACTCAAAAGCTGTTAGACGGGCTGGAGGGTTGTCATCCCAACATTTTATAATTAATTCCTTTAATAGCTGAGGTACATTAATAATATCTAAATTAGGACGAAGCCCATTACATATATTTATGGTCAAGGAAATATCATGAGGAACGTTGTAATAAGGTGGCAATCCAGAAACTATTTCGTATGCAACCATTCCAAATGAATAAACATCAGAAGCTTGTGTGTATGGCTTTCCTCTTAAAACCTCAGGTGCCACGTAAGGCAGTACTCCATAAATTGTTTTGTCATTATTTGCTTCGTCGATAGGTTTACATAATCCCAAATCTGTAATATAACATCCAGTGGTTTGCAATTTATTACTATATTTATTTAATATATTACCCGGATGAAAATCTCTGTGAATAAGTCCATTAAGATGGATATAAAAAAGTCCATTTGCCATCGTGTATAACGATCCAAGTTTGTTTCTAAAAGATAATTGACTATGATTATTATTTAGATATTGTCTTAAGTTACCGCACTCAAAATAGTGCATTACCATTAAATAATTGCCAGTTGCAGGGTCTTGAGAAATTCCATAGCATTGATTAACATAAATAATAAATCTATGATCAAACAGTCGATAATTAGTGATCTCTTGTAAGATATCAGCTGTCAAATTTTTAGAATTATTTAAACACTTTAAAGCAACTTCTGAAGACTTCCATCTGGCCTTAGATACTACACCAAACCCACCATGAGCAAGATATTCGATATTTGATAATTGTTCGTAAGGTATCCATCTTAAGCCATCATTTTCTTTAATAAATTTATTTATTTCTGGACTGTCACTCATCAACTCTTTATCTAATTCTTCATAACCAACTGGTACAATATCTAAAAAATCGAAAATGATTATGTTTCCGAAAATTTGAATGAACTTCACATCGAAGAAAATTAATGTAGCGGGACTGGCAGTACATA